CGCCCCGGTCACCCTGCCGCCGCCACCACGCCGGGGGCCTTCGCGCTGGCAGCAGGGATTCCTGGGCCCAGTCGGCTGAGCTCACCGGCCGTCCGCAGGAGCCAGCCTGCAGCTCCCCAGAGCTCTGCTCAGAGCCAGCCTTCCCCAGGCTGCTGCTCAGCCCCAGTGCCCTGGGCACGTGATGCAGGAGGAAACCAGCACCCTCGCAAGAAAGGAAATCAGAACTGCAGAGCATCACTGCCCAGCCCTGTATCCAGGCCTTTTTCTGTCCCCGCACTGGCAGACCCAAAGCCCCAGGCCTTCCTCTGTAGTGGGACAGAAGGAGCAGCCGCCCTCAGCTGTGAAGCCCGGAGTTGCCTCCTCTCCGTCCACCTAAATTGCCCTAGAAGAGTGCAACACCAGACAACGGAGACCCTGCCCCATCGGCTCCCGGCAGCAGCAGACAAAGAAAGCTCTGAAGCTAGCAAAGAGAACTCGGCGTGCCAGCACTTGGCCCGGCACATAGCGGGGGCTGAGAAAGCCTCATTCCTTTATTGTTCTATTATCACCGTTCCCACTTCCCCATTGTCTGTCTGCGTGAGCTCGGCCTGCGTTTCAGTGGTCTCCGAGGGGCAGCCGTGACGGCCCGTAACTCCGAAAACAAGGCGTGTGCCTGTGGCACCGCAGAGACCAACCAAAACAGAGACGCGTGAGCTTTGGCTGGGCAAAACCCACTTCCTCCGATGAGCAGAGTGGAAAAAGGAGTGGGTGGTTTTGCCCACCGAAGCGCATGATACGATATATTTATAATTGTTCCTCTCGAAGGCGCCACAGGACCACTCGTCGGGTTTTAATTGTGTGCCTGCTGGATAATTCATGTCGCTAGGTGTAAATCAGTATTGGTGAGATAATTCGGTTCCAGTCTGTTAGGACTGGTTAGTAGAGTCCAAGCCAAGTAATTGGCTACGGTAGAGCCAAGCAGGACTCAAGTTTCTCTCTGTGGAAACTCTGGGAACCGACTCCAGACACAGGGCCAAGATCAGAGCTGCCAGACCCCAACTGGGCAGTGCCAGCGACACCGGGCAGACACGGCACTCCCCCCGCCGGGCCTGATCCGGAGCAGCAAGGAGAGCTCATCTGTCCTATTGGGAGTTGGTGATGGTTAATAAGCAGGTTACGGAGGCTATTGTGGCGTGAGGCTCTTTCACGGTAAAAGGCCCCGCAGAGCGTCAGGTTACGCCCGAGCCCTAGGAACGGGTGCGGGTGGGGGCCCTGGACAGAGAATTTTGTGCAGGTAACAGGAGGGGACCGTGGAAGGTGAATCCCAGGACTGCCCTTCCCCCGTCCCTCTGCCCCCAGTGCCAGGGCTGCCCCCCTCCCCC